AATAGGATGGGCAGTGTTTCCTAGAAGCTTGTATTTCATTTACATGTTGAATGTTCTGTGAAAACACACTCAGAGAATTTTCTACATGAAAATAACCAAGATTTCTTAACTGTACTACTGCCTACTATGGGAAATTATTTACTTAAAGGGATAAAATAATTTTCTCAATTTCTGACAACAGATTCTATGATGTCATACTTTACCCATAATCCTTTGCTTGAGAATCAAGATGGCTGACTACATAATACCGATGAAAAGTTGAATATCTAGAGAATGAAAACTGATATAAAAAAGTGTAAATTGCATTCTCCTACATTTGTGGAGCTTTTTCTTTAGGAGTCATTATGTTGTTTGGATTGAGGTTTCCTTTAAAAATACAAAATATATTTCTTTTTTTTAAGATTGTACTGGTTTTTCCTTACGACCTGTTGCTGGATTACTCTCATCTCGTGATTTCTTAGCCGGATTAGCGTTCCGTGTTTTCCACTCCACGCAGTATATCCGCCATGGATCAGACCCTATGTACACACCAGAACCGTAAGTGTACTTTTATTCACCCATTAAATCACATGCTATGCATGTTTGCATTTTACATGTACATGTACACATGCAAATTGGAAAATTATGTTACTCATGAAAAAATAAAAAAATTTAGGAAACGTCTGTGAACAAAAATGAGATTTGATCCAAATTTTTATAATTTTATGCTGTAATAGCCTGTTGATACAAGACCATCCAATTATTCACTCTCAATTACTAACTATGCTTTTGGTTCATATTACTTTTGGCATGAATAAGTTTCTCCTAATTCCAATAACAATGACTTGTTTATATTAAAATCAAAAAGAGGTTTTGGACAACTATATTTTTGTATGGACAGCCAATTTTTAAGAATGGATTTCCGATTGGACAACCGTGTTTTTTTTGTATTTCAACTCAACAGTTATAAAATTTACATAACCATTTCTGTGGAATCTAAGGGAAGACGTCAAAAGATCGATGTCGGACAAAAAACTTATTTCCTTTAGTTTGGGAGTGGGGGGTTTTGACCTCAAAAAGTTTCCATCCTACAAAAACGATTTTATTTTTTAATGAAGTCAAAACAATCTTGGAGTAATTGTAGTTTTTTTTTCTATCCAATCATGGACAGAAATAACCGAAAAGGGAAAAAAACAGTAAAAATGGTTTGGTTCGAGTGTAAATCTGTGCGTCAAATGAGGTGCATTTGTAAAATCTTTTTACACCCACTGACAACCAACTGCTATGCAATACTACTGTCCGATTATCAATTTGTATTTAATGGTGAATGTAGTCTGACGCCATGACCGATATTTATCAATTAAGTTTCAGTAGGGGGGGGGGGTTGAAAAAAAAACTAAAGCAATTTAAGTTTTTTATCCGACATCGATCTTTTGACGTCGTCCCTAAGGAATCATTGGTATGGACTGATGAACAAATACTGTGAAATACTTTATTTTCGCTGAAATAAATTTTCGCTGAAAAAGCTTTTTGCATGTTTTGTAAAGAATTTATTTTCACTGATTTTTGATAAGTTGAATGTGAGACATAGGAAAAAAAGTATATTGGCTGGATTTTATTTTCACTGAAGCATCATCCCTTCAGCAAAAATAGCAAAAATAAAGTATTCTACAGTAATTTATGACTAGTAGTATTAGTAGTACCCAATTGTTGTACACCAGTTAACCTAAACTGTTTTGAAATAAATTACTTTGTTGTGACTAATACAGAGACTGACAGCAGAT